GAGACGCATCCACCCTTGTGAGCAGACACATTCATTCCAGTGTTTTCATGGCTTTCACCACGGGCATGTGCAATAGATTTGCTTGAGATGAACCTCCTAGAAAAGATTTTCCCCAACTCTCTGAATTTATTCATCTACAGAATCTGAACTCAGCAGGTTATTTTGTTTACTACTTATAAAAGAAAAATTACGTGTGTTTATATATATGGTGTTACAATATGGTGATTTGCTATACATATGTATAGGAAAACAAAATAATTACTACAGTCAAGCCAATGACATATCTTCTCATGGAGTTACTTTTTTTGTATGATGAGAATATCTGAAATCTAGCCTCTTAGCAAATTTCCTGTATTCAATATATTTTTTAGTTCTGTCTTATCTGAAGGGGATATATTCTAAAACCTCCAGTAGATGCCTGAACCCATGGATAACACTGAACTCTATATATACTTTTTTTCCTATATATATTTATACATGCCCAGGATAAACTTCAATTCATAAATTAGGGACAACAAGAGATTAATAATGATTAACAGTAAAATAGAATCATTATACCAATGTGCTAAGTCACTTCAGTCATGTTCAACTCTTTGTGACCCTATGGACTGTAGCCTGCCAGGCTCCTCTGTCCATAGGATTCTCTAGGCAAGAATACTAGAGTGGGTTGTCATGCCCTCCTCCAGGGGATCTTCCTATCCCAGGGATAGAACTCATGGTCTCATGTCTCCTGCATTGGCAGGTGGGTTCTTTACCACTAGCACTACCTGGGAAACCCAATTATACCAATATACTGTAATAAAAGTTACATGAATGTGGCCTCTTTCTCTCAGAATACTGTACATATTTAATACCTCTTCCACTTATCACACACTGGCTGTAATATTTGCAGTCTTAGATGGAACAGCAACACTAGCATAAATGTCTTTTTCTTCTTCACAATATCGTTAATAGAAGATTCATTCTTACCATAGATCTTAGCTGTCTCAGTGTACAATTTTTTTTCTTTCCTGGTTGAGAACTTTCACCTTTTTTACTTAAAAGAAACAGCTTCCAACTTCTCTTTGACAAATTCAAATTGCCTGCATCACTCCTCTTGTGCTCGAGAGCTATTATTAAGTCAAAGAAGGGCTACTGTGATACCACAACAGTAGATCTGACAGCCTGAAGGCTGCTAAGTGACTAGCAGACAGGAGGGACATGCTGGACAAAGGGATGATTCATGTCCCGGGTGGGACAGAGTGTGAGGATGTGAGATTTCATCACATAACTCAGGACGTTGCTGCAATTTAAAACTTATGAATTGTTTATGTCTGAAATTTCCCATTTAATATTTTTCAGACAGTTGACCACAGGTAACTGAAACCTGGAAAGTGAAGCCACAGATAAGGGGGGACTACTGTATTCTCTTGTCATCATGCTCTATGTTAGATCTTTAGAACTATTCATTTTACATGATGCAAGTTTGTACCTTTTGACCGACATCTTTCATTACTCACACTTCCTCGCCCCACCGACTTTCATTCTACTCTCTGTCTTCATATATTCTATTTTTAAGAACCTACATTAAGTAAGATAATGTAGTTTTTTGGGTTTTTTTCTTAGCAGGTTCTTAAAATGAAGCTGTAGTTGGTTATTCTGAAGTCTGTGCCCCTAGTCACATAGCAGAGTCCAGTAACTCATATGCTTCTCAAGGGACTGTCAATTCTAAATGTCCTCTTTGCTTAAACTTACATTTTGACTTCTGACTCATACACTCAGTTTCTATCTTATTTCTCCAGGGTTTATATTGTATTTTTTCTTAACAAGAGATATGAACTTAGCTTGTTCTGAACCTGCCAGAATTATCCACTGCTCAGCAAACCTTATCCGCTGTCACCTTTCTTGGTTGAAGACTCTCAGCTGGAAGGTGTCTCGTGTAGCTAAACCTTCAGCCAGGTCTGGACTTGACCGGTTACTGCAGTATGTGCTCCTTTAATATTTACTCTTTGCTGGGTCTTCCTATAGAGCTTTAATCTTCTAATTTTCTCAGACATGTTCCCTCTAAGAACAGGCAATTCCTCTGTTCCCACATAGAGAAACCAGTGCCTTGAAACTCCCCTGATAATTGAGTCTGATACTGACCTTCCTCATTTTCTCTTTTGCAATCTGTCTAGATTTGCTGACCCCACTCTGGAGAGCTGTTTCATTCTTTAAGGGGATCCAGTCTCTAAACTTTCCAAAACAAATCTCAAATGCCTCCATTAAAGGGACAAGAACATAGCAACTTGCTTATACAAAGTTTAAAAAAGTTGCCTCTTAACGGTGCCCTGAATCCTGGCCTTCCCTGGGGCAATCATTCTGGTTTGTTCCCTAAGATTTTGCCCTTCTTCATTGGGCCCCAGTCAATGACAGTGCAAAGCCATGTAGTGATTCCCTCTCCCCATCTAATGACTCCAAGAAACTTAGTTTAACTTGCATCTCCATTCTTCTTTAATATTGTTTATATGCCCCATCCTTAAAATTTTCACTTCCCTTGTATAAGTCTTGCTGATACTTAAGAGTCTCCACTGTTCTCCTAAAGAAATTTCTTCTCTCCTAGTTTAATTAGCCTGGCTCTGTTTATTCTTGGTTTATTTTTATTATACCCTGTGTTTCAAACCTCTGCACTTTATCTTTGAATTCCTACACAGACCAGACTGTGAGAGATTATTTCAGGCACAAAATTCTTTTATTGTCTTTCTAATTATTGAGTCTGCAATAATTTCATTGAGTGTGCTACTTCAGTCTGCCCAAAATGCTCTTTGTAATTGGTGTCCTGGTCCTCTTTATTGTTTGCTTGAAAATAATAACATCTATCACAGAAAATGTGAAAAAGTGAAAGCCTTATGTTGTTATGATAATAACAGTTATTATCATATCAGTTGTTATGATTCTTTACCACTTGATGGACTGTAGCCAAACTAGGCTCCCATGTCCTTGGGATTCTCCAGGCAAGAATAGTGGAGTGGGTTGCCATTCCCTTCTCCAGGGCATCTTCCCAACCCAGGGACTGAACCCAGGTCTCTTGCACTGCAGATTCTTTACCATCTGAGCCACCAGGAAGGCCCCCAAAAGAAGCTCTACCAGGAGTGAGGTTCAAACCCAGGCAGGCACATGTCCACTGGATCTTAGTCCAACCCCTTAAGCACGTGGCCATCCCAACTGTGGGCATCTATCACAGATTGGATCTCAATTCAGGCCTGAACTCATGTGATTTTCAAGTCCAAAGTGCATAGAGAAGCACCTGATGAAAGAGATTTAACAACTGGCTGGGAGTTAGCAAAGGGGGAAACCCAGTTGTATAGGGTTTCCCTGGTGGCTCAGACTGTAAAGAGTTTGCTTGCAATGCAAGTGACCTGGGTCAGGAAGATCCCCTGGAGGAGGGCATGGCAGCCCACTCCAGTATTCTCGCCTGGAGACTTCCGTGGACAGAGAAGCCTGGCGGGCTACACTATGGCTTCACAAAGAGTCAGACGCTACTGAGTGACTAACACTTTTCACTAGGAAAAGGAAAAACCCTGAAGTATGGGATTTATTGATTTCAGAAGCATAAATTCTCCTATCATGGCCAAATTCAAGCTACCAATGTGACATCAACCATCTCACAAAATTACTGGAAATGTAACAATCAGCTCTCATCAGTAAACACAAACTAGTTTCTGCATACCACTGGGTGACTCTCTGCCTGTGAGCAAGCCACATAAATCCAAGACACCTCAGGTTTGTTCCTCTGAAGTCCTCTATAGTCTTGGAAGCAAAATGGAATTTGAGACATCAATCTAGGGTTACCTAGCCTGGTCTGCTTCTAAATATCTAAAACTAGAACCTCTGCTAGTGTTCTGTAACTCACGTGGAATTCACTTCTGCCTTCCACCTAAAGTCAGCAAATCCTGTTCTGTTCAAGAATGGCTCAGATCCCACCCAGGCAGAACAATATGGCAGAACCACGGCACTCCCAGTTGACCTCAGTTGGCCTCAAATAGCTGGAGCCCCACCATCTCCACCCGGGCCCGCCAGGGAGAGCCCTTTATGCTGGGACACTGGGCAAGAAAATCAGTCATCGCCTCACCTGTCTGGCACCGCACACTCGTGGGGAAACTGGTGTTAAATCATTTGTATACAACCTGCTTCTGGATCAGGGTCTCCTACATAGCAGCAGCTCCTTCACTGAGATCAGTTGACAGTCAGCCCTGGACACAAGGCATTATAACAAGAACAGGAGAGAAAGGAAGGAAGGGAGGGAGGGAGGAAGAGAGGAAAGGCTCGGAAGATCCAGTCCTGCCTCAGCCTGATACCTGGTCCAGGTGTGGGTCCAGGTGGACCTGGCAATCTGCATTTTCAAGTCCCCACCACTTGATTCAGATGTCACCTTGGCCTGAGTGTCTGCTGAAGCTTGCAGCTAGCTGAACATTTGCTTTCCCTAAATGCAGGGCAGGGTTAGATAACGTCTGCCTATGACCTCATGTGTCTAGCCTCATCATTCTGAAAACAGTCTCACACACACACACACACACACACACACACACACACACCTGTGTAAAAGTTTCCTATCAGTTGAAGGAGCTCACTAAGGTAAACATCTCCCATGGTCACATTCTAGCATAGTGTCCTCAAAGCATAGATTATTCACTTTGGGCATCTAAGAGCATCTTTATTCATATGTTCTTTTCTCCCAAATTGTATTTCTTACTTAAGTCTTACTGTTGGGATTCAAGAGGCTCAATAAATAGCATACCTTGGCACTGACCTATTCAATAAATGAGATAAAAGAGGATGGCAGATGAAGATCAAGATATCACCTTTTTACTGGCAAAATTGAACTGGAAAATAGGGCTTATATCTGTGGACAAAGGGGCATCCTAATTCTGAACCCCAGAATCTAAGGCATAAGCAGCGATCCCACAGGGTCATCCTCCCTACTCCAACAGGGCAGAACTATAAAAGTTGTACAGTGAAGCAAAGTAAATGAGCGCTTTCACCTGGAGCCACTCAGAGCCAAGCCACGCATGTTCATTTGCTTATGTTAGACTCACTAGTAACTTCTCTTCCTGTGAAAAGAACATGAGAGGTTGTGCTAATTAATATCCCCTTGTTGGAGCAAAATATCATTATAAGTGTATGTGTTTTGACTTATAATAAACTATGTATTGCTTCCTAGTTTCCCTACAGTTAACAAATTGTATTATATGCTTGTGCTCAGTCATTTCCAACTCTTTGTGATCCCATGGACTGGGCCAGGCTCCTCTGTCCATGGGATTTTTCAGGCAAGAATTCTAGGTGGGTGCCATTTCCTTCTCCAAGAGTTCTTCCCTACCCAGAGATCAAACCCTCATCTGAATCTCCTGCATTGCAGGCAAATTATTTATCATTGAGCCATCAGGGAAGCCTTATTAACAACAATTGTTGTTGTTGATCAGTTGCTTGGTCATGCCCAACTCTTTGCTACCCCATGGACTGCAGCATGCCAGTCTGTCCCACACCATCTCCTGAAGTTTGCCAAGTTTATGTTCATTGCATCGGTGATGCCATCCAGCCATCTCATCCTCTGATGCTCTTTTCTCCTTCTGCCCTCAATCTTTCCCAGTATCAGGGACTTTTTCAATGAGTCAGCTATTCGCATCAGATGACCAAAATACTGGAGCTTCAGCTTCAGCATCAGTCCTTCCAATAAGTATTCAGGTTTAATTTCCCTTAGGAATGACTGGTTTGATCTCCTTGCTGTCCAAAGGACTCTCAGGAGTCTTCTCTAGCACCACAGATCGAAGGCATCCATTCTTCGGAGCTCCATCTTCTTTACCGTCCAGCTTTCACAACTGTAGGGTGACCACTGGGAAGACCATAGCCTTGACTATACGGACCTTTGTCAGCAGAGTATTGTTGACAATTAGCAACAATGCTGCAGTACAAACCTTCATCTGCATCTATATCTGTATGCAATGTGTAAGAGAATATCCTTGGAACACACCTAGCAGAAAATTTGCTCACTGAAATCATGTTACATGATATATATGGTTGAATTGCCCTCCACAATGCCTGAACTAGTTTATATTTTCACCATTAGAATATAAGTTCCCATTGATCTATGTTTGTGCCAAGATTTGATACTCTTAAACACACATACACACACACGAGTGCATCTACTGGGTATGGAAGCAATATCTCAGTGTGGCTTTAATTTGTACTTCTATTTTCCTGGTGAAATTGAATTTCATTCCTATTTACTTGCCATTCAAATTTCCTTTCATATGATTTACCTGTTCATATTTTTGCCTATGCATTATTTTATTTGGCTTCTCGCTGATTTTTTAAGAATTTTTTCCCTTTCTTTTAAGATTCTGAATAAAAATCTAAGGTCAATTATACATGTTGTAAATCTCTCTTATGCATTTTCTAACTGTCTCTCAATACAATATTTTAGGGGTTTTTGTAAGGAGGGATGTACAGGGCTCTATTTTCCTGTTGACTCATTCTCTTTTTTCCTATATCTAAACTTCTGTTTAACCCATCAATCAAATTTTAAATATCAGCCAGAATGGGAAGAAGAAAAAGCAACTTTATGCACTGCATAGCAAACAACTTTATTAACATCCCTCTGACTTAAATCCTTCTGCTTCCTTTCTTGGCCACAAGCCTACTCCTTTTTAAAAACTCTTTCCTCATTTAACCTTTCCTAATTGCCTTTAATTCCTCAAGGAATTCATCTCAGCCCCTAGGTCATATTGTCCGCTTTGAAAAGCTAAACTCTTGAAGTTAACTAAATCCAAATGCCTGAGAAGGCAATTTGATGACCATATTTTCCATATTTTTAGGTAGCATGTCAAAGCATTCACTGAGCAAAATGGGAGGTGTCTGCTGTAGGGTGATCACCAGCTAGGTGGTCAGGACTTGCCCAGCACTGAGGGAATTACAGTGCTAAAAAGGGGAAGGCCCCACCAAATCAAGATGGTTGGTTACACTGTTCTGTTGTCAAGAAAAATTGTACACATTTTTCTCTATAACAAATCCCCTTATTATTTTTCTAGGATAAATTTCTGTCTTTGGAACAAGTAGGTGAAATTGCATTCATTGCGTAAGGGTTTTTACCAATATTGAAAAAAAATATCGTTCTAATATAACTGAACCTGTTTTCAATCCCATAGGCAGGAATAATCATTTCTAGAATTTTTTATGGGCCAAAATAGAATCCTCAGCATTGGAGAGCCACAGCACATTCTATTCACCTGAACAGATGAGAAAACTGAACAGCACTGTCCCCCACATTGTTAAATGTAGGACATTTAACATCTCTGGTCCATGGACGAACCTCTTTCCTCTACTCATACAAAATGCGTCACTGGGAAAAGCACCATGTCTGTAGTACCATCTCCAGCAATCCAAAGCCATTTACTTAATCTGTGCTGGTTATTCTATACCAGATACTGTGTCAAATACTATAGCTGTCAATGAATTAGAAAAAGTCACTGTCTTCAAACCTCATGTATTTACCAGAGATGAGCATATAAACAAAGGACTTCCCTGGTGGCTCAGCTGGTAAAGAATCTACCCACAGTGCAGGAGACCTGGGTTCTATCCCTGGGTTGGGAAGATCCTCTAGAGAAGGGAATGGAAACCACTCCAGTATTCTTGCTTGGAAAATTCCAAGGACAGAAGAGCCTGTCAGACTAGTCCATGGGGTTACAAAGAGTTGGACATGGCGAAGTGACTGAGCACATTTGTATTTAGGAAAACTTGTTATAAACCAGAAGAAGCAGTCATATTTTAACTGGTCAGAACAGAGCTCTTGATGAACATCCCTGTAGGTCTCACACATTTACTCATAAACTGCCAAAACACAGATTTTTTAAATAGAGAAAAGGATAACCCCACAAAGTAGTGACAACACAAACACACTGGTTAAATGGGAAAAGCATAAAACCAGTGTGTGTCAGAGATACACACATTCACATTATTTGAGTTTTTTACTTTTATATATTTTTCATACCATCTGTTCTTTCTTTTTCCCTAGACCAAAACCTCTAAGAAGGCAGAGTTTCCTCACCTAATATCCCAAATCACTGACCACTGGAAGACTTGAGGTCACTCAAATATTCTAACTCAGAGTCTCTGATATTTTCATCTCAGCCTTGCAGTTAGTTGGCAATAATTCTAAAACATGCTACTCCCTTTCCTGTGAGGAAAGGCAGCCTTTCTGAACACAATTGAACCTTTCTTTGGTGATTCTGAAGATCCGTACCTCAGGGACATCCTCTGGAACAACAGTTTCCTTTGCCCAAAACCATAACTGTAGAAAGTGTGGGAGGTTGACCTTCTAAAATGGAATGCTTTACACCAGATGGTTTTCTTAAGTTTCCTCTCTTCTAAAAGAGGAGCTAAAAAAAAAATAAAAAATACCTAGCAGTATTAAACTGTGATCAATTTAAACTAAACATTTCATAGGACTCCAAATTGTAAATGCTTACCTTCTGCTCACTCTGGGTTCTGTTTTTCAATCTACATTCTAGAATTAGAGTCATAGACATCACCTTTGTTAAAAGATTAGCGTAGCTATTCTCAGCCACCAAGTCCTCTCCTAATATGGCCAGTTGCTTTGCAAAAGCATGGACTAGACTCAGCTATGGGTGGATTCACACACATACATCTTTGCTGGAAAAACTAACAGCTCAATGAGCTTGTACTTCTACTGCTTTTTCAACATATGAAAGAGTCCACTAAATATTTTGCCATTTACTTGGCACTGAGCCCTTAAGTAAACAGTTAAGTTCACCCAACATTTATCAAATGCTAACCTACCACAGCAAGTGCCTACCATTTGCCTACACATCTCAGTGTGTTAGAGAGAACTGATAAACTAGGTCACAGATTAGATGTGCAGCCCTAACTAGCAGGACAGCTTGGGCAGGAAGACGACGCAGAGCTAGGTCTGTCGTTGGAGAGCCTTCTTTGGGCGTTCTGAGGGATGCTCAGGTCTCTGCAGAGCTGTCTTCTCCTTGTGTGTGTGCATGCTAAGCTGCTTCCGTTGTGTCTGACTCCATGTGACCCTATGGACTGTGGCCCACCAGAATCCTCTGTCCATAGTATTCTCCATGCACGATACTAGAGTGTGTTGCCACGTCCTTCTCCAGAGATCTACTTGACCCAGGAATCAAACCCATGTCCCTTACATCTCCTGCATTGGCAGGCAGTTTCTTTACCACTAGCGCCACCTGGGAAGCCCATCTTCTTAACCTGGTATAAAATTCCTACTAATAAAGTCCACACCCCTGTGACATCAATAAACATGTATCTATTCAATTGATTTGCTTGTTTTCCTCTAGGTAGATGTGCTTATGTATGTGTATATGTGTGTATGTAAATGCGGACTTCCAGGTGACTCTAGAGGTAAAGAACCCCCCTGCCAAGGCAGGGGCCGTAAGAGACGTTCCATCCCTGGGTTGGGAAGATGCCCTGGAGAAGGAAATTGCAATCTACTCCAGTATTCTTGCCTGGACAATCCCATGGACAGAGGAACCTGGTGGGCTACAGCCCATAAGGTCACAAGGAATCAGAAAAAGCTGAAGCAACTGAGCATGCACACAGTTCATTGGGCTGCAGAGTCTGACGTGACTGAGCACGTAGACTGCAAGCTGCTTAATAGTTAAATAAAGATAGTTGTTGTTCAGTCGCTAAGTCGTGTCTGACTCTTTGTGACCCCATGAACTGCAGCACGCCAGGCTTCCCTGTCATTCACTATCTCCCTGAGTTTGCTCAAACTCATGTCCATTGAGTCAGTGATGCCATCCAACCATCTCATCCTCTGTCACCCCATTCTCCTCTTGCCCTCAATCTTTACCAGCATCAGAGTCTTTTCCAGTGGGTCAGCTCTTCGCATCAGGTGGCCAAAGTTTTGGAGCTTCAGCTTCAAAGCATCAGTCCTCCCAATGAATATTTAAGGTTGATTTCCTTTAGCATTAACTGGTTTGATCTCCTTGCAGTCCAAGGGACTCTCAAGTCTTCTCCAGCACCACAGTTCGAAATCATCAATTCTTTGGTGCTCAGCCTTCTTTATGGTCCAGCTCTTACATCTTTACATGACTACAGGAAAAACCATAGCTTCGACTCTATGGACCTTTGTCGGCAAAGTGATGTCTCTGTTTTTTAATATACTATCTAGGTTTGTCATAGCTTTTCTTCCAAGGAGCAAGTGTCTTTTAATTTCCTGGCTACAGTCACTGGAGCCCAAGAAAATGAAATCTGACTTTGTTTCCACTTTCTGTATATCTATTTGCCAGGAAGTGATAGGACTGGATGCCATAATCTTCATTTTTTGAATGTTAAATTTTAAGTCAACTTTTTCACTCTCTCTTTCACCTTCATCAAGAGGCTCTTCATTTCCTCTTCACTTTCTGACATTAACGTAGTATCATCTGCATATCTGAGGCTGTTGATATTTCTCCCCAAAATCTTGATTCCAGCTTGTGCTTTATCCAGTCCAGCATTTCTCATGATGTGCTCTGCATATAAGTTAAATAAGCAGGGTGACAATATACTCATGAACAGTATGAAAAAGCAAAAAGATGTGACACTGAGAGATGAACCCCTAGGTCAATGGGTATCCAATATACTATTGGGGAAGACCAAAAAAAAAAAAAAAAGGGCATAAAGATATTATTGTTTGCTTAATTAATTAGTTGAATGTATTTGAATCAAATTATCTCTAGAAGGCCCCCTTAAAATGTTACCTGGAAAATGAGGAAAACTTTAAGGCTCATAGTCTTTCTTTCTTTCTACCCCTGCATCTCTTGAACTTCTGACACTTCTTATAGCCTGAGAGCCTCAAGACATCTGTTTCTTGAATCCTCATCTTCCCTGAGCCTCCAGAACTGACAGATCAACTATTTCCAAAAGTAGCAATGGCCACAGGCGAAAATCCTGATATACATAGTGTCTATGGCAACAATTTGCTTCTTTTCTCCTCACCTTCTAGACTTCCACAAGTGCTTCCATAATTATTTTAAATTATGAGCAGACAGCCAATCTATATAGGCAAAAAAAAAAAAAATGGATGAGTAATTCTGTGACAAGCTTTCTATTTATTTCATCACGTATTTTACCAACAATTTAGGAAGGAAGATGTTGTTAATCTCATGCTGCTCACAAGAAATGCGGAGGGTTAGAGAGAGGCTGACTTGCTCACCCAGGGCCGCAGAGCTGGCAAGTGAGAGAACCAGGCTCTACATCCAAGAGTGACTTCAAAGTTCTTCGTAATTTTGTTTTTAGTCAATTTCTGGTTTTACCTTGAGGGTTTTAGATGGGATGACCTTGAGTTTTCTTTCTAGGTGGAGTGCTCAGGACCAGTGTTCCAGTATCTCATTTGTCAGCATTTTGACATCTAGTTGGCCCATAAGTAAAATGAGATCCAGAGAGGTAAATCGATGGGCCTCAGGCCAGCCGGAGACTCACTGTAGCCCCAGGACTAGAACCCAGCTTCTAAAATCCCTCCCCAGTGTAGTTAACATCCAACATGCTATCATGCTATTTAGGGGAGGAGGGGGAGCGGTTTCCCCATTCTCTCTTTTTTTTTTTAATTGAAGTATAGTTTATTTAGTACCAATTTCTGCTGTCCAGCAGAGTGACTCAGTTATACACATAAACATTCTTTTCTATATTCTTTTCCAATATGTTTTATCACAGGATATCGAATATATAACAGTTCTCTGTGCGATACAGCAGGACATCGTTGTTTGTCTACTCCAAATGTAATAGTGTGTATCTGCCATCCCCAAACTCCCAGCCCACCCCTCTCTTCCCCCCCTCCCTCTTAGCAACTTCAAGTCCATTCTCTGTAACATCCAACATTCGTAATCTAGCTTGCTAATCCCTGATATCTCTGGTTTTTTCTCTCTCTCCAGCATCAACAAGTGCCGTATCTCCCTGCTATTCCTTACATTATACCCACAATGACTTCAATACACATTCTATTCCTTCCATCTATCTGACTTGCCCTCGCCCTCTGTTGCCAATTACCCTTTAGGTCTGAGTTCAGGTATCACCTCCTCAAAGTGGCCTTCCTTAACTATTCCCTCCCCAGCCCCACACATCGGATATGCTAGACGAAATACAGAAACCTAGTTAAGTTTGAATTTCAAATAAGCAAGAAATAAGGTTTTAGTATGCCTCAGATACTATATAAAGCATCCTAATACTAAAAGATTGGTCTATCTGAAATTCAGATTTAGCTGAATGTTCTGTATTTTTGTCTTCTCAGTCTGGTAACACTACATACATTTCCAGATGAGGTCTGTCCCGCTTGTTATACACCCTTGAGAGAATGATGAAACATGAGCAAAGGGCTTGAATGGATGTTCTTCCAAAGAAGACATACAAATGGCCAATGTGTACATGAAATGATGCTCAACATCACGAATAGTGAGGGAAATGCAAATCAGAAGTAATAAAATATCACCTTACATATGCTATCCGGCTTCCCTGGTGGCTCAGATGGTAAAGACTCTGCCTGCAATGTGGGAGACCTGGGTTCGATCCCCGGGTTGGGAAGATCCCCTGGAGGAGGGCATCACACTGCTATATTCTTGCCTGGAGAGTCCCCATGGACAGAGGAGCCTGGTGGACCCCTCCGTGGGGTCACAGAGTCAGACATGACTGAGTGCCTAAGCCCAGCACATGCTCTAATCAAAAACCAAAAGGGAACAAGCATTGGTAAGGTCAGAGAGAAAACCCTTGAAACACTGTTGGTAGGAATGGAAAATGGTTCAGCCACTATAAAAAACAGTATGAAGTTTCCTCCAGAAATTAAAATTAGAACTACCATATGATCCAGTAATCCTACTTCTGAATATATATCCAAAATAACTGAAATCAGGATCTCGAAGAGATTCTCTACTCTCATATTCATCATAGCATTATTTACAATAGCTAAGATATGAAAAAGCCCAAATATCCACTAACACATGGATGAATAAAGAAAATGTGGTATTTATGTACAGTGGAACATTAATCAGCCTTTTAAAAAAGGCAATCTTGATGTTTGTGACAATGTGGCTAAACCCAGAGGACATTATGCTGCATGAAGGCAACCACAGGACAGATGCTGTGTGGTTCTTTTCATATGAGGTATCTAAAATAGCCAAACTCACAGAATGCTGGTTGCCAAGGCTTGGGAGAGGGCAAAATGAGGAGTTCCTGCTCAACAGGTGTAGTGTTTCAGTTACACAAGATGAATAAGTTCTAGAGATACGTGGTACAGCGTCGTGCCTGTAGTCAGCAATATTGTATTGTGCACTTAAAAAGTGTTAAAAAGGTAGATTTCATGGTAAGTGTTCTTAACACATACACACATACACACACAAAGGGTTCCATAAGCTTTTCCTTCACACTATTTAACAAAGTTATACTTAATGAATTTTTTTATGATTCCTTGTTT